TTTTTACTATTAACTATTTGGTACTTAGCAAAGAGACACAAAAACACAGCATCTCTAATAGAAAACTCATAACTACCAGACTTCATAGAAAAACAATGTCATATGATCTCAGAAGCCTCTGAGGGATTTAGCAGACCAGAAATGTAGTTATAACTTTTGTAGCTTAAAATTCATTTGCGATAACAAGCAAAAAAAAAAAAAGTATGAAACACAGCATTCTCATTTCATACTGACACTCTAAACGTGTCTCTTCTTATATACAAGAACAAAGACAGACAATACAAAGGGCCATTAAATTGTAGGCGTGCAAACAACATCTAAAGCTTAATTTTTCCCTGCAGTTAGAATGAGCCATCAGATTACTCTCTTGGTCTGAACAGACAGGCAGAGTTGTCCACTGGCACTGGTCTACTAAAAAAATACCATCTTAAAGCTAATTGATACAATGCTATCATATCAATCAGTACATATGATAGCTACCATAGATACGATAGCATGTCATTGATATGATACACATTATAACAGAATTTATATAGAAAGGGTTCTGCAAAAAACTGAAGACCTCTACAAATTATCTTATTCTCTCAACAATCCGAGATCCTTTTCAGAGTCATATAAACTATATTTGCAAACTTTCACATTTAACCTCATGAAAAAAATTGGGTAATTCTGTAGTTACCCCAGGGTAACTATATAGGGAATATTTTGTGCTTTGAGATTTAAAAAAACAAAACAAAAAAACATAAAAAAACCACCACCACCACCTAACTTAATGCTCCATGCTCTAATATTTGTGCTTTTCACAAGCAAAATGTTCCCAGGAGGGATCAAAGTTACTGCAAGACCTAGTTTTCCATCAGCCATTATCTGATATTGTCAGAAGACCAAGGCTGAAATCTGCCTCTGCACCCAGCTGATTAGAAGGTTTACTGGTGACATCACTGGAATGAAGATTTCATCATAAATCCTGTGTGACTTTAGGGCGTGTAGATTATTAAAGGCACATCATACTACACTGCAAAATTACAAAGCCTTTACAAGGAACAGTTGAATTCTCTTAGAGACTCTGGACAGATGGCAGGATTTGACTATCACTAAATCAGCTTAGTGAAATACATTATAAGTTCTCCAGCCCAATATTCACTGCGTATTCCTAATGAAACTGCTGAATGAAAAGGGTGGTGTGCCAAGCTTATAGCAAGTAAACAACAGAAATCCATTTTCCTCCAAACTCCTCCTGATGTGCTGTAAACTCTCACCCAAATTACAAAAAACAAAGCTCCTCTTGAAAAAGCAGCTCGTTACAAAACACAAAAGATCAAAACCTAAATTCTACTTTTTTGTGTGTTTACTATTTAATCAAGTGTCTGCTAAGCTGTTTCTTTGTGACTATGAAGTAACTCAGGAAAATCAGGAGGTCAGACTGACTGCCACAGAACCACCACATCAATGAACAAGCTTAATGGGCTTTCAGGTACCTAAATAACAGGTCCCTCAAAGGCTGGATGTGCAGCTTCTCTGTAAGATAATTCCATCAGCAAGGCATGAGCACTTCACTTATCAGAACTGGCACATAATGCTTAAGCATGACTTAATGCTCGCAAGAAAAGATGCATGATTCTACTTTGATTTCTAGAAGGCAATCCCGATTTCCTGTTAATTCTCCTCTTAACAGCACAAGGAATCAAAAGCTTTCATAGAATTACCAGATTTGTAACCAAGCATTCACAGAGAAATTTATTTTTTCAATGCATAATCAAAACTTATTTTGATGGAAGTCACCCTCAGTCATATTTTACTAAGAGAAATGATTCTTATAAAAACATTTTTGCCTGTTCTCCGAGCAATGACATTTTTTCTCCCTTGTCACCTTAAGGTTAGTGCTCAGGAAGTAGAATGAAGTGATTATCACTGTGCATGACAAGAATTGTTTGCTGCAGCAATTACCCCTCAGTCAGACTGTTACTTTTGTTTACACTCAACAGTGATAAAAAAAATGAATCCTAGATATCAATATATGCTAAATACACCCATTTTACACTGCTTGAATTTTGAGCAGATAACACACTTTAATGTAGGTGTGGCATTATTTTTAATGCAAAATTATGACACCTCTTTTGAAATCCTAACATTCTGTGCTATTAAATACATGTTCTCATTTTCATCAGCGTGAGAGAAGGGGTTGATTTTGTTTGCATCAATACGATGAAATAACAAGTATATTCTTATTTGTACCAAAGCAAACAGAACATCCTTATAACCCATATAACTATTTCCCTAAATTATTTCCTGAAATACAGTCAACATTTCAAGTTCCCAATGAAAAGGTTAAAAAAAAAAAAAAGGCAATTTGAGCTCCATAGACAAATACTATAATTTTCACTGTATGTTAGGATTTTTAATAATTAGAGATACATATAATTGATAGCTCATGAATAGAATTTGCATACAGAGCACACACAGTCTCCCTAAAACATTTCTACAGTTGATTCCTTTTTGGATTTGACATGAGCTGAATGGTGTTAAACAATTTATTCACCATTTTTTGGGACAGGCTATTTAACTCATTTCTAACTTTTAAACGAATGTGAGAGGTTATGTATTTCTATATTAGCATACATACTGGTTAACTACATTAATTATACACAACAGGCCTGTGCTCAGTTAAGTGGGTCTTTTCAAATACATGGCAATTAAACCCTCCTACATCTGAATCACTTCACATTCACAGAATACTTTCTATATGAGCACTAAATGTTTACAAATGCATCTGGCATATTTTATATAATCTTCACAACCTCAGCTGAGACAACTAAGGAGTGCTATCATCACATATGTAACAGAGTCATAGGCAGATGCAGATTAAATAAGGTCACCTTATTCCTTGTTCCCATCTTCCCATTATGGCTATGGCATCTGGACTCTGAACTTGACACACCACTCAAACTGCCTGCTTGAAATAAATGGTGTACCAATTCAGGATAGTTTACATGTCTTGCAAAAATGTTATGATTGTTATTAGTTACGATTTTAAGAAGTTTCCTACATATTCTAATACATTCACTCAGGCCACACTCTTTTCCACGGGAATCAAAAAAGTGAGATGGGCTGTCTCTGCTGAATTCCTAGTTCTGAAAAACACAAACAACATCAACTCCAAGTCTACAGCTGTGGCCCCAAAGGAATTTTGGAGGAGGAAAAAGCCACTGACTCCTTCACAGCCTCCTTCAAAATGACAACGATAAACAGAAGAGTCAATATGCTAATGGTCACAGTGCTGCTTATTAGAGACAATTTAAAATGAAGCCTCTGTCTCACGGGAAATTCTAATCTGGTTTTCTTCCCAACTATCAACAAAAAATTTTTTTAAAAGATCAAAATTAAGAAACTCCTTTCCCATAGAAGATGAAGTATAACATATCCAACTGACTCTCACTAGACATTTTCATTCGAAACAAAAGCACTTTTACTTTCCCAAAATGAAATATTTTATGTTTTGTTAAAAATATTTTAACAGGGGTTTATTATTATCTGAATTTTTAGTGTCAGGGCCTTTCATTACCTTCCATTAAAAAACGCAAAGCAAAATTGCAAACAATATTTAGTATGCAAAGCAAATGACACACTAGATTATCATTTGTAAATAAGGTACTAGATTTATAAACTGAGATTTTACAAATGCTGAAACAAAACCAGGATGCATTTGCTTAAACTGAACCACATGAAGAAACAAAATGTGCCCACTTCCAATTTCTGTACCTATGTCAGTTCAGAATTACTCCTTACACTGTATCCTGCAGAAAGGACATTTCGTTTTTTTATTATTAATACTTGCAAAAATCTGGATGGCCTTTGCATTTTACCATTTGTAGTTGAATTAGCTGGCCTTTTATTTTGTCTTTAAACCAGCCATCTTCATGCAGTTTATCTACATATAAACAATTCAGTAACAGCAGTTTGTCACCTTCATATATATTATTGATGAGAAAACAGACAACCCACCAATTAAGATGCGTGCACTTGCCCCATCTCCAGGCTCAGCCTGAGGTACTGATGGAACAGTCAAAGTAAAAACTCAGTTTTACATTTCAAAGAAAGTTCAAAGGCAGTGAGAAAAGACTGCCCTGCAAAGAACACAGAAATTGTATTTATTGCTGGAAAAGTTTATTTAAGGAGTAGACTATATTATTTACTTCAAATGATAATAAAAATGATACAAACCCACATCTTGTTCAACAAGATGTTCTACTTAGTTTTCCTTTCAGTCTTGGATTAAATCTATGAATTTGACAGAATGATAGTTCGAACATTCTTACAACACTAGTCACAGCTTAGTATCAAAGATACGGAGTCAAATAACGGTCAAAATAAAAATCAAGCAGACTTGACTGGATTTGTGTTTCTGTTGCTACCCAGCAAGACATACAACAATATGTCTTGGCCCCCAAAATATCAATGAGTTATAAATTAAAGGAAACAGTAAAAATATCTGAAATTGGGATGTCTTTAGATGAACAACCAACCCTGAGATCACTTGTCTTCTCTGCTTCCATCCAAATTCTTGGGTTGTCAAAAATCACCAAGCCATTCCATAAACATTAAGTATTTATTACACGACCCACTAGTCCTTTCTAAAGTAAGTATAACATGAGAATTTATCAAACAGAAATTATCTAAAATAAAATATTCTACTGAAAATATCTATTTTAAATAAATAAATATTAAATGAGATTACATTGGCCACATAACATATCCCTAACCTTGTTTTTGGAAAGCCACGTGGCCTTTCTTTCCTCTGTTTCTGAACATAAGACTAAATATCCCATGTTAAGACACATTTATGCAGCTGTTCATGAAAGTCATAAACACAACACACACTTCACAGGACAACTTTGCAATGATAACTCCACACTACAAATGTGCCACATTTATACTATAAGTTAATGAAAGCCAGCTGAGCTAAATAAGCACTAGCAGAGAACACAAAATACTTCTCTTACCTCCATTTCTGTGCAGTGTAAACGGCCTGATTTATCTGTAATTGGAAAAGAAAAAAGTTTTCAGATTAAGTAAAAGATGAAGGAAAAATAAAACTAAAAACTCAAGTCACTTTTTTTTTTTTTGAGTAATTGTCAAGTATTCTTTGCCTTACTTTAATCACACATTTCAATAATGATTCCATTACAAATGCATCACAACTAACAACAAGAAGGCCCTGCCCTTTTTATTTGGATTCTTCACTATACTCCCTTTTAAAAAGATGTGTCTTTAATGCCTGGCTTCATTATTTAAACTGTATGACTGATGCTTGGCCATGGAGGGAACATGAAAACATGTTGGCTTAAATTAAGCAGCAGCAAATAATTATTTCAAGATAAAAAACAACATTAATTCATAAACCTGGGAAAAGCCACTGATTCATCTGATACTTCTGGCATATCAAAGAGTTCAACACCACCACAAAGTTCAAGCAAATTAAAGTTGAAATATTACTGTAATATTTTTGTAAGTCCCTCTTGTCAATTTTTGCATTTCCTCCAAGTTCAGAAACATCACTTTGGAATTCATACAATACAGAAAAAATAAGTTTCTGAATTGTTTCATTGAATTGAAATCTCAATTTTCTCAAAGACAAAACACTTTGGTATAAAAATGTAAGTAGCTTGACAGCTTACAAAAAATAAGACTGAAATTTCACAGCATATTAGGAAGGTACCATTTTACTAACAGCAGCAAATTTATCATTTCGTATTAATAATTCATATCAAAGTAGGGTGAAGTAATGTGACAGGAAGATTTTCTATTGGAAAAATGATTATTCAAGAAAGTCAAGTATTCCACAGAAATATATCCACTTCAAAGGGGAACTACCCAAAACTTTAATTTCAAAACACACAGATATTGAATTTTAGTCTTTTTGTCTTTGCTTTTTGGCTGCATTGCACCTGCACTGCTAGTTTAAAATTTGCCACTTTGAGCCTAACGGCACTCACCCTAGGATACACGTGACAGGATTCTGAGTCCCCACATACTCAAAAACTAGAACGGCATGAGTTCGCTTGACTGAGCGTACGCTACAGGTGATGATGGTTGCTGAACACCACCCAGCGTGGCCAGAGGATTTACTGCAGTAGTTAGGAAAAGCCTGCAACTTGTAGCCATAACTGGAAGGACTGTTTTATCAGATTGCCTGGCAAGCCCAAGGAAGCTCAACCAACTGGTTAGCATAATGTTCGCTCACAGAAGTGATCATGCTGACTTTGTATATTAAATCTGAACAGCATGCAAAACTGTTGGTACTAGGGAAGAGTCATCTGCATAGAAAAAAGATTAATTTTTCATGTTGAACTGGCCACCTTCCCTTTGAAACTGAAGGTTAAGCACATCTTGAATGAATAGGGAACATCCACCTAACAGAGTGAAAGTTGTTTACCTTCATTTTGAACTGTTGCCAATGCAAGCTGAACATTTAGCACTGGTGTCTGACTTCAAAATGAAGAACAGAAGAGGGACTTAAAAAGGCAGCTTTTGCATCACACATCATCGTTTCAAAAGGAGTGGTGATTCTCGTTGATTCACTTCAAGATCCATATAAGAGATTTTTTTGTGTTTAAAATGGTAACATTCATGTTGTTGTTATAAATTCTAAATGGAAGAAATTTACTGAGAACTTTTTTTAAATACTCCTACAATTTTAGCAGATTTATGAATATTAGGGGCTACTTCCGTGAAACTCAAATGATGGATGAGCAAAACAATCTCCATGATACAAGATGATACAAGACTAATTCACACAAACGTAGTCGGGGGGGGGAGGGAAGTATGCTGCCTTTTTGGGGAAAAAAAAGTACTTTTTTTTATTACTACTTCAGAAAAAAAAGTAGTAATTTTAAACCTGTAATGGTGCAATAGCATACAGAAGGCCACAAATGTTTGCAATCCCTGATCATTTAAAATATCTTGACTTGTACCTCCTATAGTCTAACAGAACAGGAATCAAACTATCTACTAGAACCTCTCATAGCACAGACTCATTGCTACACCTCATAGCAATGCTGAGATCCTACAAAGATCCTTTTAATAGAAGTCCTAACCAAGTCCTGAAGCACAAAACCAAATAAATTAGCCCAGACCAAAATAAGTAAAGCAAAATCTGGTTTTCTGAAAGGAATAGCAAGAAGCTTATATCGCAGCCCCTTTGATAGATGTTCTTTGACAAACTTCCACGAAAGCTGTTCAAGGAAAAGCACTCAAACTCTGGAAACTTTCCTTATTTCATATATGGCGCTATCAAAATTTACTACTGCTTTCCGAGCAAATCATAATTAATTTTTTGTTTTAATATAAAAATATAGCAAACCTCTTAAACTGGATTCTTTACTCCCATTTATACCAGCATTTTCAAAAACAATAGTATTGTCATGATTCCATGTGCTGGGGAAGAAACGAGGAGTACAAGTAGTTTAAGTCTCACACCAGCTCAAATGCACTGCAGACAGTACTCCAGACAGCTGCAAACTGCTAATTGACTTACAATGTTTTAATATATACTGCATTATGGTAATTATTCACCATACCATTCCATATGCCTCTGTACCTTGAGTCCAGCTATACACTTCACAGATTTCCCTGAGCTGTTTGCAGTGACTTATGGACCTTCCGCCCCGGTCAGGAACTTCCTACATTTCTGAAGAGACCAGCATTAACAGTATCAACCCAAGAAACATGCACTTACTTGCATCTATCAAGACTGAAATGAATTTGCTTTCGTATGGCCCACGCAAGCCAATTTACTTATACTGGCTTTACTTATACTGGCTGGGAGTAGAAATTTCTTCTCTCTTCAGCTGACACGACTGAAAAAGCAGAACCTCTTAAACATAGCCTAAGGGTCACACTTTCTTGATTTGCACCAGTAGAAAAAAAAAATTCCATGTAAGAAGTCATAGAATAGTCTCTGTCTGCACGCAGTATTAAGTGCTTATCTGGTAAATAGGTGAAGACTTAAAAGCTTCTTCACATAGATGCAGACTTCTCCAGACTTCACAACCATTCAACTAGATACTAATCTGTGTAGCATTTTCACCACTCTTACTGCCAGAAAAGATTCAACAGTTATTTTTTCCATGGCAGCTTTCAAATAGTGACTAATGCATTCATTACTAGTAAACAGCATAACTTTTAACTGTCAACTTCAATTTATAAACAAGCTACGGTTTGGAAGATCATATGGTTTTTCTCTCATAAATTGTTGAAATACAAAAAATGAACAGTTTTTGCAAGAAAGAAAGAAAAATACTTAAATGGAGGTTTCCTGTATCTCTGAAAACAGGCTTCAAAGAGACATATTTGCCATCAAAAAAAGACGAAACCCCAACCTCCTCAACAAGAGGAGTCATGGCAAACTTTCATCAAGCATTAGGGCATGCCGACTCATCCCTCAAGGCAGGAGCTTCAGGCTGCTATTTAGACTGGAAAAAAAAATTCTTTTCACAAAATCTTTCAGAATGCTTTTAAAAAAAGACTATACTCAATATACGTATAGCCCCTGCTTCACTGAAGCACAATTTCCCTGCCGTCCAAGGATTAACAGGTCACAGTTAGAAAGGGTCTTCACAGATTTAAAAACAAATAGCAGCATACTGCTGCCAATAGTAAGAACCACACATTTAAGTCTGAATTTTAACAGCAAAATAGATAATTCAGTATGTTAAAATGGACTGACACAGGATATACGTAAGAAACCATGCAGGATGTGCAAAACCATTTGCACTCCACTATCCGAAGAAAAATTAAGCTACGAAGTTGACGTTAGTGATATGACACCACAATCACACGGCCGCTGTTTCAGCTATAACCAGCTTCTCTAAGAGCCCTGCGGCTCAGAGCCTCAGAGCATCCTCCTAGCCTTCCTCTAGTGTCTCAGATTCCTCTGCATAGATCCAAAAGCATTTGCTTCAAGACAGCTTCTTGCAGAATTGAAATTATTAGCACTGATTTTCAGGCAACAGTGTAGCTGATGTACGCATTGGCAACAAACTTGAAACTCATTTTGTGTTAAAGATTAATATTCTAATTAAATGCCACAGCCCATTTCTGCAGGTTTTGGGTGAAATCAAGCTGCTATTTCTGTGATAGCAGAACTCAAGCTGCCTTCAGGAAAGACAGCCACTGCCCATACATACTGGAGGACAGTGGAAGAGGTGGCCAAAGAAGGAACACAGGGGCTAATCGAAGGAAAGGGAGCAAGGGAGAACACAGGAGTCACTAACTCAAGATCCTTAAATTGAATAGCCTTAAGTCAGGCCCCCGAATTAAGTTGAATTTGTATTTGCTTTCTAGCATTTATGTCTTCAAGAGGCACTGTAGCTACAATAATAGGCTTTTCCCTGACCTTAAGAGAATAAGGAACTCCTTTTAAAAAAAAAAAAAAGGAGGGGGGGGAGTTCAGACTTGCATTTAATCATCTGATTGCAGGAACTGGAGCATTAGTTACCAAATCTGACAAGATTGCCAATACAAGAGTCAAGATTAATACTAATAAAAGGTAAGGGAAAGAATGAAGAAAGCAAAGGCAACCAAGCAACATAAGGAAAAGAGATGAATATGCAAAGAACAGGATTCATAATTAAATGAAGGGAGAGGAAAACACTGACAGATTTCTGGCAGAGATGGATATTACAAGATAAACAGAGGAGGACGGAAATCTTGCATGATAAAAAGAAACAGAAAAAAAGTGGAAACAACAAAGACAAATAGAGGTAAAGTACAGCTTAGGAGTAAGAGACATTAGGCTGCAGGGAAAAAGGCCAAGAAGAGCAAGAACACAAGGAAGTGGAAGGAAGCAGACTGGATTAGGAGAGGTAATTGGAGACCCCTCAAAGCAGTGACCACGGAGACCCATGCTTTTAAGTAAAACACTTAGGCTTTGAGAGTCAACATACCCTTCCTTTAAACTGTATAATCAGAAGGCAACAAGAATAGGGATGAGTTTTTACAGCTTGTGGCTTTTTGGATCTGATTCATGATTTCTGTATCAGCCTACAACTGATGATTTAGAAACGGTATGCCTAATTTTTCTACTTAGGAGAGGAAAAAGGAAAGGGAGAGAAATTTGTAAGAAAATACAAGGAAAATTCTTCGAGAGGTTACTAGACCAAAGGCAGCCAGGACTTTCCTTCCCTGTGTCGACCTTTTTTCATGCCTTCATCTTTCTCCATTCAACACGCCACTGAAGTTACTCCTCATTTTTACAGTCATAAGCAATCCTCTTGTACATTGCACAAAACAAAGGTAATGACTAAGAGGTCTTTGGTGTTAATACCCAGTTAAATTTTGTAATAGAAATTATTTTAAAATAATATTCTTTAATTCCAAATTAACAACTCCATACTAGGGCCACCTTTAAGACACAGTTAAATGGTCACTTTTTGTCTTGCCCCATTTCTACTCTGCACAAGGAAACCAGCTTTGGTCACCATATGATTCTTTCTATGTTCTACTGCTCTCCCTCTTTAGCAAACCTGTAAGCTTACCAAGGGATCACACCAATTTTTGTTATTCTGATATAAATACTGTAGTAGATACACATCTCCAAGTCTGCTGAGCTCTATTCACAGCTGCCAGTCTCTTCTACAGATGCTTAAGTACAGATACTACACTTGTTTTCCTCTAGCCTGTCCAGACATCAACCCTTCCCAAAAAGTGTGAATTGGCAGAGTTCACGCATCTCAATTTTTTTTTTTTTTTAAAGTTCTGTTATTCTAATCATATTCTAATTTCTCCTGGAGCTATCCCCTCGCTTGCTCATTCAACAAGTATGTGTGCTTGTGGCAGAATTCTGACTCCATTGAAATCACCAGTAGTTTCTGCCGTTATGTTTGATGGATCCAGAGTTTCAAGCAGGTCACAGCTTTTCTATATTGATAACACAGCACTGTTAGATCTGTTAAGAACTTTCACCAGCTGCTAATAAACTCTCTCAAGTAGATTAAAAAGTAGTTCTCTTAATTCTTCTCTAGCTCAGCTATGTCTTTGCAGTTTTGTATTTACACTGTACAAACTCACTCGTCTCCTTTTGTTCCTCTTAAAGTGCACAGTAATAAAATTCAATAACACACTCATAGTTGCGCATGTCATGCAAGCTAGCTTAAGGTTTTATCAGGAATAGAACAATATTAATTTTGCCTCCTTACCGGATCTGATGCTATAATGTGATCAATTAATTCAGAAACAAAGAGTGAACACTCCAGTTTCCTTTTAACAGACATTATGAAAAAGCTTCCCCACTTTAATAAAGATAAGTTCATTGCCTACATAGATCCTGGATGTTATGTACCTTTAATCCTCTTTGTCACCTGCAACATACCTACTGCATATTTGGCAAACGCAGTCACACTGGGGTCAGACTCATTCACAGTGCTGCAGCTGTGGGTCATTTTCTCTGCCTGTCGCTCTGATCACATCTTGCTTTCTGAATCGTCCTCTTAAAGGTGCGCGTGCTCTCTCTCTCTCTCTCTGTGTCACATCATACACTGCTACCATCTTCATCCTCAAAGCCCTTCTCATGCTACCCCAGTCCTACCCATCACCTCTCAGTACTGTGGGGTAAACTGTCACCTCCAGCCAGCTTCTGCAGCTGGACTCCATTACCCATTACTTTTATTTATTTATTAAAAAGCATCTTTGTTCTGTCTCCAGTGATGCCCCATAGGAACATCATACATCATATTAACTCTGCAACTTCATGGCAGATGTCTCATTTCTCACTCTACTCTTCAATCACTCTTAACAACGACAGCTACAATTCCACTTTCCTTTCTACAGCGACATTTTTACTGCACTAGTCATGAAAACCTCCATTACATTACAAATGTGTTATCTTTTACTTTAAGTAGTTATGAACATCAGGAGCCCACAATTCTCCAAAGTTCTTTGCTCTTAAGTTTTCCTTAGGAAGAAATGCAGATTTCAGACAACACCAAATTAGTCTTTATTCCTTCACTGCCGACTTACCATCTTCAACATTTCTGCATACAAACATAGGTAACCAAGGTCACCTATTACTGTTGGCAACTTCCTTCCATTTCTTTTGTGAATAGGCTTTTTTTTTTTTTTTTTTTTTTTAGCCAAAGACATTATTTTGTTATGTTGGGATCTTTGCTTATTTTGTCCTCTCCACCTGGGGCTGTCTGCAATAGGGTCCCCAGCCATCTGCATACATTCACAGGGAGCCCACATAACCCCCAGTGCACAGGATGCATCAGCATAAGCCATGACTGGAAGCCTTCCAGTTCACCCTTACATACTGGGAACCACACTGATGGCAGAAAGCCTAGCATAAATAAGGCCTAAGCCTTCTCTCTTCCACAGATCAGCAGCGCAAGCAAACAGAGATAAAGCATCAACTCACCGAGGCTCCTCTGCTGTCTAGTGCCATTTTCTTCCTACCTTGACTTCCAATATTAACATATCTACATAGATATATATAGATATCTATCTATCTAAAAACTCTTGCAGGAAAAGGTGTGGCTCAATACATCAAACTTTACTATTTTTAAATACAGATGTTTCTGAACACTCTTGAACAAAATCTGAATTCAGAGCATAATTAAGTCTTAATTCTAGAGGTACTATTTATTTTAGCAGTATTCATAGCAACACCTGTTTTGAAATTCAAACAGCAAGCAAGGCTACTCCCATCCATTATCTTTCAAAAGGGTCAACAAAATTAGAAGTAAAATGTCAGTACATTCATTTTCCTCTAAAAATCCTGCATATTCTCCCTTGGTGCTCCACAAGAGACTGACAGATGAGAATGTCTTGATGCACACAAGCTAAATTTGCATTTATTCATCCTGTATTTCTCCACACTGCCTTCCAATACCTGGGCACACAAGGGTGTAAGAAGGACATGAAATTCATTAAAACTACCAAGACAATGCAAGCTATTCCTCTCCAGTGTGTCTCACCCTGAGCCCTCCAAGTACCGTGAAAGCCACCGCGCAGTCAACTTTTCTGTGATCTTTTTGATTCAAAGCCAGAATACTCCATGCATTATGCCCTCCCACTGAACATCTGGCAGATTTCCAAGAGAGAAATCTGCATAGTACTTGCTTCTGATAAAACCAGCAGTAATTTCCCTCTGTGCTTTCTCCTCTAGGGCTGGAGGACAAGGCAAAAGAAGGGCCACCGACACTATCCGCAGAGGCAAGCTCTCAGGAGGGAGAGGGAAGGCCGAGGAGCACCACGTGCGTGCCATCCCTCAACAGCCCACGACTGGAAGTCAGCACGGTTTGGTTTTCCAAATACCTGCCTTTGCCCCTTTCTGAGATCCTCATGGCCGTTCCTCTTCAGGAGCTCAGCAATGCCCCAAATCAGTGGCTGTCTTTGCTAAGTCAGGCATCTGGCACTAACAAAACATGCGGGGGGAAAACTCAGTTTTTCCAAGCCTGCTCATTCCCAAAACTGTCCAGTGGGAAGGAGGCAGCACAGCCGGCATGCTGAGAAGTGAGAGCCCCTTATCTGGCTCGAAGTGACGAGGCAACCCTGATGAAACAGCCTCCTGTGTCCTGTGGCGTTCTGCTGCCGCTAAATACTGGGCATGAGGTCAATTGCCAGCTCTTGTGCGGGTTTTCTACTCCTGTATCTATCACTTTGTTATTGCTTCAAGTTTATAAAAACATTTGTAAGCACTGTTCTGTATGAAAAGAGCTTGGAGGAGTCAAACCACATGTTTACACCAAACATTTTAGCTCGTTCATAAGTTATTTTTTATTGCATCTGGCACTTTACTAGATGCCACTGTTAGCTCATTTCATATAAATTGTAAGTAACAAAGAGATGGCTAAAACACCCATTAGGTAAAATACATTCATTTGTATCTCCAATTTCATCGTGGGTATTTCTAAGCAACCCACATTTCTGTGGTATTTAGATGTCAGACAGTTACAATGATTCATACTAAGATGACCACAGTAAGCTTTTCATTTTTTTCATATTGATGCTTATTTCTTACTCACTTCAGTTCTGGCAAAATGGTAAGGCTTGCATCACACCATGAAAACATCGCTTCGTGAGCGTCTTTAAAGCAAACTCTATGACATGGCTGTGTTTGCTCCTGACTTCGCCCAAGCCCCACTGACAGGCATGACTGATCACATCATTCTTCGCAATCCTGAACAAAGCCCGAATGTTCGCTGCCCAAAGACACCATTCTTCAGGGACTCCTTTATTTGCCCACACAGGATTCTGTTGTATACAAAAATAGAAACTAACACCCAATATTTGTTCCTGCAAATTATCCAAACCTATATACCAGCCTACAGCTATATATATATTTTTTTTTATCTATCACTAGAACAAAATAGCTTTACAGCTCAGAGTGTTAACCTGCAGAACCCCTATTGCTCTAACAAACCACCTGACACAGGCATTTAAACCTAAGTTCTCTGAAATACAAAGGCATGAAAACAATTAGCAGGAATCCTTCCTGATCCTCATCTTGCCAGGGATTCAGGTAGTATCAATGTTTATGTGAAAATGAACAACCGAGTGACATTTTCATTCTTCATCTTTTTACTTCTATTTAACCAAAACCTTACTGTTTACTTTTTTTTTTTTTAAACAAGATAACCAAATATTAATAGACCACATAGATAAAACTGGAAAGATCCGAGAGTCAATCTCTGGTTTTGGTTAAGGATGGGGATTCAACCCCAATGTTGTTATTCTGCCCCGGTACCAGTGAAACTCATCTTTGTTTCCTATCTCAAGGGCATTTTCTTCAATTTCTATGTATTTTTACTTGGAATTTCAAGTATTGCGCATTAACTGGAAAACTGCTTCACAAGAAATGGCTTTGGAAAAGTACCATCAGTTTCTAAACAATCCGTACTTCTTTTTAAGAAAACTTTAATTTGTATCTCAAGAGTAAAATTAACATGGCCAGACAGCTTCAGGGACTACACTACGATGTACTGCTCCCCAAGTCATAGCGCCAGGGCAATGTTTCTTCTTAAGCTCTCATTGCTACTAAGGAGAATACATGAGCCTAAGAATAAATATGCGTTCAAGAGGCTCAAGCTGAAATTGGCTCAGAAAGCTCATTAATCATCACCTAAGGACACTGCAGTAAGCAGTGAGGAAAAGAACTGGGACAGTTCAAAAGATACCAAAGAGAAGCAAGCCTACTGTCAACTCTTCAATATTCAGTACCATGAATTACAAGCATTCACTGTATCACACATATGACAATTTCCAGTGAAAACCTGGTACAGGTTCCACAAACCAAAGAAGAATAAAAGCCAACTGACTAGGACCACCTTTGTTTCATGTTGTTGACAGTTACTCCCACGAACACACAAAATCCTCTGTGAAAGCTTGAAGGCTGAGCAACTGCCTGTATTCCAGAAGTCTATTCAAAGTTAGGGAGATGAGGAAGACTGGCAGCAGGGAAAGGACCCCAGAAGGAATACTGCCTCCTTTCAAATCCAGGCTGCAACCAGCCTGCGGCTGATGCAAAAGTGGGATCACAGAAGACATCTGGCAGAAATCTCCCCTCCTCCCCTTTTCTATTTATATGCACTGGAGGGGGTACTCTCCCTGGGTTATCTCCCCTGTCATGCTTTCCTGGGAGGTCTTAGCAGACTGGTTATCTTCTTTTATATACAAATACATATATACACACACACACACTAAGATTTTCAAGAAATAAGCACACATACATGGTGTTAACTGATATACAACATAATACATACAATAATAAGCTTAAAAAAAAAAGGAGGGATTAGAGAAAAATGGCCAGGGCTGGAAGATAAAAAAAAAAAAAGAAAAAGGTCTCATCTATCAAAAGATTTAAACACAGTATCAACATACACAGGTCAGCACATGTTAACTAAAGCATTTTAAAAGACTAATGCAGATGTGGCATGCAGCTTTAGCATAAACTAAACACGCTGGATGTCAGTGAGGGGCCTGAACTTTATATCCAGATATATCCAACGTCTTCCTATGAGCCATTAAAGATGTACTGTAAGAGGAAATAGAATAAGCCCACAAATAGCAAGGCAAAAGCAACAAAAGAAATAAATACATAATAAATCAATATATTTCCTACCGTAAGAAAGAGAAAAGAAGTCTGATATAATCTCAAAACACTGTAAGTAAAAGCAGCACACAATATGCAATACCAAACTCTTCAATGCTCTGGTGACGTGCAGATGCCTTGGTCAGGAAAGTATTTTCCTGGAACTTCTGGGTGTTGGTCTGGCATTTTATTAACGTTACAATAACCTATTTTTTTAGATAATTAAAAAAGCACATCAGATCACATTGAAATGGAAGTCATTATTAGACTCATTCCAATTGTGGAACAAAATTATGTCCCTTCTTCCACTGAGTATATTTTGATATTTGCATGTACCAATAGCTCCAAACT